GGCTAGCTGGGTGACCTCGAGCCTGTCCCTTAACCTCTCTGACCTGAATTCCCCACCAACAACATCAGGACATCAAGGTCAACCTTCAAGACTGTCACTGAGTCGGAAGGAAAGAATCCCGGGGGAGCTCGGGGCACAGCAGGCCCTGGGTCGATGGCGGCTGGGTCATTCTTATCCTAGTCTGTCCTGCCGCCCTCGGGGGAGAGGACAGGGAAATGTGATTTCTGCTGAGTAATGCAGTAAAAAAAAAAAAAAATCTTGAGAAAATAAGATGAATCCTGACATCGTCAAGTGTTCACAGCACTAAATATTTTCATAACCACAGAAAAGTGAACACACAGACACTCCCCTCAAGATGACTCAACGGAGGTGTCGCCTGGCTCCAGATGAAGCCCCCACTGTACCGCCGGGCCAGAAAAACGTGGGCGCCACAACCTCAACACCAGGCGGCCGAATGCCACAAGACCTCAGCTGAGGGTGAGGGGTGTCCAACCTCGAGTGCCACACAGGAAGAGCCCCCCACCCCTGAATGCCCAGAAGCGCTGTCGCCGTTCATAAATATTCAACAAATGTGTCCTGAGACATTCCGGAGGTGACTGGGGAAAACAGACAGGTGCACAGGAAGCTCAAGGTCATTAAGGACATGAGACGAGGAGGCAAACCACCCACAGAATCGTCTGTGACAGGAGGCAAAGGGACATCGCCACTGCAGCACCAAGTGGCAACAGTGGGGACCATTCCAACAAACGTGGTCTCTCATTCTGGGATGTTCTCTCAGCTGTGCTGACCTCGAAAGGCTGCTCACCCACAAAGCCCACTTGGGGGTCTCGTGACAGCTCCGCCGGCGATGGGTGGCGATGGGTGACGGGGTGTGGTTTGCTCACCAGGGCCCTTAACTCACAAAGCGGGGGCACACGGGGAGTGTCGACAGCTCTCGGTCACAGGCCGCCACAAAGGGCAAAGGGTTGGGGACAGTCCCGACAGGACCTTCCTTTAATCCGCCCCATTATGGCCCCTCTACTGTCCAAGATGGGGCGCGGGGTGGTGAGCAGCAGCCCCCGGCATTACCCTGACACGCTGCTCTGCCTGGGTGAGCGCGGACACGCAATTAAAAAGCACTGTTTATTCTCGGCAAAAACGCATCTCCAATTAACGAAACGACGCGAACCTCTTCGGGAGCCTAGATGTTTGCTGCCGCTGGGTGATTCATCCTGCCATCCCCGTGTGGCCGAGCCTTACGAAACCTGCTCCCCAGTCAGCGGTTACCTAGCAACCAGCCTAGCAACCTCGTAGCCAAGAGATTAATCCCTGAGTGATCATCAAGTAACATCCAAAAAGACATCTCGTCTCAAGGATGCCATCCAAAGGTACACAAAGACGAGGCTCAAAGCGGCCAGCGCCTCGCCCCTGAACCACACGATTTAGAGACAAAGGGCGACACGTCATTTACTTGTCGCTTCGACAGCTGAAAGGCACTTTCCTTCCTGAAATTCATACACGGGGATGGAGAAAACTGAGGACAGACGCTGAAGCCTCTCTCGGTCACCGAGAGGATGAAGACGTTCTGCCCCCACCCTGGATCCCCGACGCCTCACGCGACAGAAGCAAGCCTCACTGTGTGCACGCATTCAGAGATGCCAGAGACATAACTGGGCAATGAACAGCCGAGAGAACATTCCGGAAGGGTGAGCAGTCGGCCTGTTGAGAAGGCACCAGCGCTTTTGAGCCTGCCCTGACCTCGTGCTAGACCACGCCCCATCCCTACGGGGTCACCTGGAGAGCACGTTCCCAGGGTCCCAGGTCCCTCTGTTAAAACCAAACTCCAGGTGGTTCCGCTGCAGTGGCCGCAGGGCACCCCTGGAGGACCAGGGCTCCGAGGCCACCTCTCAGCACAGGCCCCACGGCAGGTGGCGGGGAGCCAGCGAAGTCTCCTTCCTTGTTCAGAAGGGCCTTGGAGCAAAGGCAAGAGGTGCGGGCAGAATGCAGGCGGTTCGGCTGTGTGAGTCCAGATCCCCGGTCCAGCTGGCCACGCCGCCCCGGTTCCGATCCGCTCCACCACCCACTGTGTGGCCCCGATTCCCTCCCCCAGGTCACCAACTCAGGCTGAGAGGCCTTTGCTTTGAAAGGCCACCCCACTGGACACTGAAGCAAGGGCCAGGAGCAGCGTCTCAGACGGAGTGCTGAGGGCAGGGGGCCTGGGCACTTGACATGAAGGGAAGAGATGCTCACACCTGAGCACTCTGCTCCCCTGGGCCTGCCATCCACCTGAAGCCCGCTGGGAAGGAGGGTGACTTGTGTTCTGTGCAGCTCAAGGGCAGGATTTCAGATCAACTAAGGGAAAGGACTCTGAGATCGACAGAGCAATGGGTGGCCTGGGGTGAGAGATGACCTCAGGTGTCACGGCCAAGGGCAGGCTGCCCAGGTTCAAGCTCTCTGCTTCGGTTTCCCCTCAATTAGAAAATGGAGATAATAATGGTACATACCTCACGAGGTCTTTATGAGGATTAAAGGAGGTAATAAGCACTGACAAGCGTGGCCGAGTCCAGCCTCCATACCGAGGGCAGCAGAGACACCGGAGGGGCAAGGTGAAGGCTGGAGGTGACATCTGAGCTGGCACTGGAAGGGGACTGGGGTCTGGGATTGTGGTGAGGCCCGTGGGGAGGTGCGTCTGGCAGGAGGTGTGGTGGACGGGCACGGGCCTCGAAGGCGGGGAGTCGTGCGGTGTCCCACACGACAGCCTCATCTGTAAAAGGGGCCAGAGGTGCCCCCCTCAAGATGGCTGTGAACCCCAAGAAGTCCACAGATGAGCGTCGGAACGGGCCTGGCCCGCTTGCACGCAGGCTGGGGAGACGGGCTCACAGCAGCACGGTGGTCCACCGGGCACCCCGTCCTCGGACACCCCCAGGAGGAGGGGGCGGAGGCAGCGGTCTGCCACCATGGCCGGGCCCCGGGGACGGGCGCAGGTCTTCTGAGCCCTCGAGCTCTGGGCGACAGGGCCGGGCCCAGACCCACGGCTCCTGAGAGGCCTGGTGGCCACTGTGCGTCACCATGGTTTAAACAAGGGACCTGGGGACCCGCATCAGGTGAGCGGGTGGGAAAAGCACAAACGGACACCAGAGGTGGGGGACAGAGCCTGGCGCCCAGCGGACACTCAACGGATGGAGAGAGGGCCACTCAAGCGCCACACCGCGCCCTGCCCTGTGGGGGCCCTATGGGCCTGGAGGGCAAAGGTCAAGTCAGGGATGAGAAACCCAGACACACTCGGATATCGAGGCCGCATCAGGTGAGCGGGTGGGAAAAGCACAAACGGACACCAGAGGTGGGGGACAGAGCCTGGCGCCCAGCGGACACTCAACGGATGGAGAGAGGGCCACTCAAGCGCCACACCGCGCCCTGCCCTGTGGGGGCCCTATGGGCCTGGAGGGCAAAGGTCAAGTCAGGGATGAGAAACCCAGACACACTCAGATATGCTGTCCCACTGGGAATGATGGCTGTCGTGCCCTTGAAACTGAGGTCACTTCTGCCTCGCACGAGACGATCCCAGGGCACAGACCAGGACAGGTCACGCTGAGCAGCAGCAGATGAGGCTAAGTCTGCTGGCCAGAGCGGAAGAGAGATGCCGACCCCAGCCCACCCGACGTGGTCCCAGCCGGGAACCTCACAGCACGTGTGAGCAGCCGAGCCAGGAGCTGTCGGCCTGTGTGTGCCGCCTCGTACCACCAGCGGGAACCCCGGCCAGCAGGAACCACGGCCATAGGCCTTTGTGCCCCAAATTCCCCATCTGAAGAACGGGTTGTACCACAGTACCTGCCTCTCCAGGGGGACCGTGGGGGGATGACGGGCTGACACGGCACAAGGACAAGTCCCCCCAGAGACACACAGGACTGCGGTCTGACGGGGTCCCTGTGGCAGGCGGGCCGAGGCACAGCTTCCCCAGCCTTGTGAGGCGTGGGGAGCGGTGGCGAGGAGGAGAGAGATCAGGTCGGGCCACACCCCGCTTCCCCAGTCACCCCGCAAAGCCCCTCACCTCTCCGGGCTCCGCTCTCATCTACTGGCCAGCCCCCAGGGTCGTCGAGGGGCTGGAACGGGGTGATGTGTGCAGGCGTGTGGGTATGCGAGCACCCCAGCATGAGTAAAGGGCTCGCCCGTCCACGCGGTGGGTGGCCAGAGAGCCGGCCAAGGCCACCCTCCAAGGCCTGACCTCGGACGTCTCCCAAGTCACCCCTTCCGAGCTGGTGAGGCTCCTGTTTTACCATCATGTTTCCCGAGGAGTGAGTTTCCAGATCAACATCCTAGCTTGTTCCTCAACGAACACGGCTGTTTCCTCCCTCGGCCTGGCTGCCACCCCCTCCCCCCGCCCCGGTGCGGCAGCTGTCCCCCCGTCCCCCCCAGGGACAAAGTTCCTTGGGAGCAAAGTTCCCACCCCCAAGCCTGTGCTGGCAGCATCCCGTGTCCAGCATCCCCTGGCAGCCTCGCCCTCCACACCACATCCAGGGGCGGCACAGGCAGAGGCTGAACACAAGGGCTGGATCCTGGCCCTGCCACTCTGTGCCTCAACTTCCCCATCTGCAAAGTGGGTTGCCCCGGCAACACGGACCCAGCCGGAGGGTTGCTTGGATGAGCCAGCACTGGCACAGGGCTGACCTGCGTCCAGCAGGCAGTGAGAGCAACGAGCCACCCCCTGATCTGGTCCACGGTCCTGGAGCTGTTAGGTCGAGGTTTCTGTTTGGTAAGCGATTTTTCATCTTCGTGACCTTTGTCTAAAGGAAAGTTCAGGGGTGGGTTTTCCCTGTTATTAAAACCAAGTAATATGTGATCATTTTGGAAGATGAAGAAATGAAGACATTTTTAAAACCACAAGGTGGTCTGGCGTGGCTGGGATCAGCTCAGACCGACGGTGCCTTATCCTGGCCCGGCCACTTCCCGGGGCATCGCTGTGGCTCAGGATCCTTCCCGAGGTCCAGCAGCATCTCACCTGGCCCGCCCCCAGAGCCACTCACCTTAAACCTCTCGGACATGCTGTCGGTGATGCTGACGGTGAACTCGGCTATTTTGGAAATACGCCCTTTGCCTTTCTTGCGGTCGGGTTCATAATCGGTCTTGGTTTTCACGACCACCTTGTCCAGGAGACAGAAGCAAACGTTTGGTCAGTGGTGCGGCCAGAGTGTGGGGACTCTCATGTTCAAAGCCACCATTTCGCCAGGAAGCATTTCACAAAAGGAATCAGAAGAGCCACCACTTCCTGGAAAATTCCTCGTGCTAGGACTTCAGAGAAATGACTCATCAGTGACCCTGACGACAGCCCCAGGAGGGGAACGTGACAACTGAGGGGCACGGAAGTTAAGCTCCTCGACCAAGGCCACACAGCCAGCAGATGTGACTCCCAACTCCTGGTGCACGGCTGGTCCCGTGGCCCAGAGCCCACGCCGGCCCGGGAGCTGGCACGATGCCTCTGGTTTGGCACTGGTCACTACGTGGCGCCATGGGTAAAACCAGGACCAGGAAGGAGCAGGCAGCCAGCCCACAAGGAAACCGATCTCGGGGCGGTCTCTGTCTGTACCCCGCCATCCTCCTCGGCCCCCTACAACAGCCCCCGAAAGCTCTCCTGCTCTTATCCGCCCCCTACTGTGAGGCAGGAGATGTCCTTCCAACCAGGAGACCCGCCCTGCGTCCGCCTCTCCAGCTTCACGGGAAGCCCTCGCCCGCCCCTCCCAGCCTCTTCCCTCGGATGCTCACGGTGTCCTCACGGTCACTGCCCTCATCACGCACTGCTGCTGGGGACTGTCTGGGGTGTTCGGGAGCAGTGTCCGGGGGGTTGTCACTGCCCTCATCACGCACTGCTGCTGGGGACTGCTTGGGGCGTTCGGGAGCAGTGTCCGGGGGTTACACGTCTCTAGTCCCCAGAAACCCACTCCCAGAGCAGGGGCCAGGAAGTGGCTGCTGGACTGGAGGGGACCAGCGGCCCCCGGGCTCTCCTCCCCGATGACAGTGCCCCTTCACTGGGCGTTCCCGATTCAGGGAGAAACTCTCTCTCCGTGATGGTGGGACCCAGGGCAGAACAAGGAGAACCCATCAAGTCAGGACAGTCACCCTTGGGCGGGCAGCTGGAGGGACTCAGATCACACTGAGCTGTAACCCTTGGGACCAGTGTCAGGGAGAAGGTGGGCCGTGCCAGGTATCGGGGAGATACGGCCCCCAGGGCCACATGGCCCCTAACCACCCTCTGGCCTTCCCTCCTCCCACCACGGAGGGCCTGCCAGGCACGATGGCAGCCGGGGTGCCCATCACCCTGCCACCCGTCCTCAGATCCCAAGTGTACCTGACTACCTCTGTGACCCTGAGCACGCCCTTGGCCACTTGGAACCTCAATGTCCTCACCTTGGAAATGGGAACAAGGCCTGTCTCACTGGTCTACTGGGGAGAGGGGACGGGGTTCATGCAACCCTCAGGCCAGTCAGTGTGCCAGAGGCCTGGGTTCAGTCTGCATCTGCCACTAACAGGCCAGGTGACCTTGGAAGTCCCTTAAGCTCTGTGTGCCTCCGTTTCCACATCGGTAGACGGGGGTAATGACGGTAGTTTCTTCTTCACGCGAGCACGTCAAAGGAACTGAGCCTGGGGAGCACGGAGACAGGTGCCCGGCGTGTAACCAGCGGTCAGTGAACAGCAGGGGACACTGGCCCTGACGCTGCTGCCAGCACTGCTGTCCCTCCAGAACCTCGGCACTCTGCACGCCACCTCAGAACAGATTCCGCGGACAGCCGGAGCCGCGTTAGCAGCCCTCGGATGATGCCGTCACCTGAGACAGGTGACATCGCCTCCCTGAACGCTGGCTGTGAACAACCCGTTGCTGCTGTTCCGGCTGAGACAGGTCTTGCCGGAGAGACATCTGGCTCTCGCGGCCGAGCAGGAGGCCCTACATCCGGGAGACTGTGGCCTTTAGCCAAGTGAGCTTGTGCACGGCCTGTAAACTCTCTGAGACTCGGTTCCCTCATCTGTGACCTCGAAAATCTTCCAGCCCAGCAGCCCTCGGTCCCTGCTAGAATTCCCGTCTCCAGGGCCTCCCTGCCTGTTGCCCCCTTGTTGGGACATGCCCAGAGATGGGAGGCTTGTTACCTCGGGGGGCTGCGGAGATGGCGCACACATCGCTTCCTACCTGCCCAGAACCCTCCCTGACAGAAGCTGACTGCGGCACACAGTCCTGGAACGGAAGAGACTCAGGGGCACAGGAGGGTCAGGCTGAAGGAGAGGAATCACCGGTGGAGGTGCTTCCGGCCACGGGCCACCACTGCTCTTGGGGTGAGGCCAGAGAAGGTGAGCGCAGGGGGGCCGGGCTGTGCTAACTGCGCAAGTGTGACGCCTGGACAGGGACCAGGAATGCAGATGCCGAGGCCTCAGGCAGCCCTGCCCCTCCTACGAAGACGCCTCCTCTGGACCGTCCAGGCCCTGGAAGGGCTCTGCCCGGGCCCAGGTGCACCCGCGTGACCAGGTGATGCTCCTTTCCTGACCGAAAACACCTGTGCCAGCCTCGCTCCTGCCTCCGCCCCCCCCAACACAGACACAGCTGGGTGGGGGTCAAACCCCTCTGGAAGGAGCCTCTCGAAGGGCCCACGTGGGGAAATAAAGAAATCCTCTAGAAGAAACGAACCCACAGGAATAACCCCCAGCCCCGCGGCCAGCCATCTCCAACACACCGCAATTAACAAGCAAGACTGAGTCAGAATCTCCTCGCCAGGGACTAAATGACACAACAAATGTGGACGCACTTCAGGGAGCGGAGTGTGCTTACCGGGGAGGGGGGCAGGGGGCAGGGGTCAAACAGCAGCGAGGTGCAGAGATGGATGGCTTATTATTTTAGGTCTGAGTGTGACAATACCATTGTCTAGACTTTTAAACGTCGTATTTACTTTTTGAAGTATTAACTTGAAGACATTATCCCTAACGAACATAAACTACTTGGTTGGATGCTGCATTCAACAAAAGAGGGGATTCTTTTAAATTCAGCAAAAGAAATAAAAAATAAAAACCACACATATAAAAAAAAGCCCCACGGCTTTGGGAAGGTGGGTGAACGCTTGTCCCCAGTTGCACTAACGCGGCGGGCTGAGCACGTATTCCCAGATTTCACAAAAGGAACAAAGGAGGAAGAGCGCGCAGGCTGCAGCATCCACGCCAGTCTGGGGAGGGGCAGGTGGGGAGCGTGAGGGGGCACCCGGCCCCCAAGGACGAGCCGACGAGCCCTCCCCACCGCAGTGGGGCGAATCCGGCTGAAACTGCACCGCCTGCGAACGCACGAGGGGCAGCGGCGCCCGGGCACCAAGGGGCGGGGGCAGAGATGCAGGGCTGAGGCGGCAGCCGTGGGGCCAGGGGCCGCTCTCGGAGGAGACGCCCGCGAAAATCACGAAGGGGCCTTTCCCGCCGCGTTCCGCGGTCAGTGTGAAGCTGTCATCTCGGGCCCCCGTTCCTCTGATCCAGAATGCCGCCCCGGGGAAGAGTCCCCCAGCCCGCCCGTGCCGCCCCCACTTCGCGTCTCCAGCGCGCCAGGCGGGTTTCTTTTGTTGCGGCCGCCGCCCGAGATTTAGGGGTGCGCGCCCCGCAGCACGGGGGGGGCGGTGCGGGAGCCTCTCACCTTATCCGGGGGCGGGAACTGCAGCTGATTGACATCGAGGGGCGTCATCAGGGGGATGGTGTCGAAGCCATCCTCCAGCAGCGCCTGCTTGGCGCCCTTCTCCGCGAAATTGTTCCCCAACTTCACCATCGTGCCGGGAGACCTGAAGCCACCGCCTGCGGAGCGAGGGCCGGCGCGAGTCACCGCGAGCTGGACCCACCCCTGTCCCCCACTCGCGACCCTCGTCTCCGGGGAGGGGTCGTGAGGACGCGGCGGTCACGGCCGGG